CACACACCACTGCTTTTTATTAATTATCTTGACAATATTCTTAAGTGACAGATTTTTTTGTTTCTTTTTCCCATTTTTAGGATAAAACTATTTTATAAATTTAATAATTTTTGACAAACTTAAGGATAAATATTAAATACTTTAATTATTTATTCCTTTTTCAATAACTATAAAACTTTAGAATACATATTAATAAAATATATTACTATTCTTTAACAATTATTAAGTTTATCATCTTAAAATGCATTGAATTTTTACACAATTTAAACCAACCATATATATTAAAATCCTTAAAATAATTTAAAAGTAAAAATTCCTTTTAAACATTTGATTTGTATTTTAAAACAAAACAAATTAATATTTTTATTAAAATTTGGAGATTTAATTTCATATAAAGGTTCTTCTAACTGACAATATGCTTTTATACTAAAAGATTTAGATATATGAACATCTCAAAGCATGATGTTATTAATCAAAGCCAAATCATCACCTTAATGAATTGGGCTATTTTTCTGCTATTANGTAATTTGATAATCCAAAGAAGACATTATGCATATTCCATTTTTCTTAATTTGATTACAATATTGTCACTAAATGATATTTTAATTTTTTTAAGTTCAGTGCAAAAATATTTATATTTTTTATTGAAAGTTAGTTTTGAAATGCAATGTTTATCAAATACAGATTAATGTTTATATTATAAATAACAAAATTGGAGTCACTAATAAATATAAGGTCATATTATGTAGACTTTGACAAACTTAATAGGTTTTTATAATTTTCTAGGTTTTAAAACTTAATAGGTTTTTATAATAGGTTTTTAAAATCATATTCATTGCTATAATGAAAACTTCATTAATTAATACTACATTGAAATTTTTAACATTTTCTTTGATCATCTCATAAAATAAACTTCTGTATTTGTTAATTTTAGTACAAAAAATTTTGTAATTTTTGATTTACCAAAAGTTTTTTCATAAAATTAATTGCAAAAACATTGTTAGGCTCATGCATTTATTAGTAGAAAATCCTTTAGAATAATTCAAAACAAATATCTATGACTAGTTGCTATAGTAACAACTTTTACAAATACTATAAAATAAAATAATTGATTGTAAAAGTAATAAAATAATATTCTGAACATTTCATATTATTATTAACTTAATTACATTTTATCTTACTGATATATGTCAACATCTTCATTGTTTGAAACTTAATTTAAAAACAAAAATTAAACATAAGACAATATTAAGAATTATTGCTAATACAGGTATATAAGTTTAATAGTTTAACATGAACAATATAGTTTCATAAAGATTTAAGTTTAGAAGAATTTAAAAAACATTTAGTATAAAATTCAATTGGATCTCTCACTACATAGAAATTTTTTTGCTAGCAATTTCAAAGATGTGGATAAATAATTGGTATCTCACAAATTCAGAATATTTTCTTTTAGTTTATCATAAGTCTAGAAATTTTGTAATTAATTCTTTGATTTCCAGTGTCACTCAACTCCTTATACTATAAGGGTGGATCAATAAATAACCAGAAAATGTTTATATTCCATGCTGTTGCTTTTGGCTGATTATTTAAAATTAATGTATATATATATATTCATTTTAATTTTATAAGTTTATCCTTATCCCAACTAATTTATTCAAAGCCTTTTTAGTTAATTTGATAAAATATTGTAGGAAGCAAGATTTTTATTCAATTTCTTTTTAGCAGTGGTGTGCCATCTGTGGAAGCGATGCTTTCCTTATATTTTCTAAAATATAAATACATATTTGCAATTTATTTTCATATTTTAACGTACTTTGAATTAATTAAAAAAATTAATATTTTATTATAACCGCATTGTGTATCTTATTACAAATTTCTATACATGTGAAAAACAATGATAAACTTGACATTGTATATTCGAATATAAATTTGTACGAGATATATCATATTTCCAATGGAAACACTGTATTGTTGAATATGGGACAGCTTCCATGGCAAAAAAATATTTGAATCATGTAAAACAGCCAGATTACAGGCATCTGTGCATGTGCTTTACAGAGCACCAACCTCTTGCAGTTTAGCTCGTGATGCTATACACCAAAATATCATATAACGCTTCCAATGATTCTATCCAGGGCTGGCACAGCTTCCCTATCATCAAATGTTACCACACACCACTGCTTTTTATTAATTATCTTGACAATATTCTTAAGTGACAGATTTTTTTTTTGTTCCTTTTTCCCATTTTTAGGATATAACTATTTTATAAATTTAATAATTTTTGACAAACTTAAGGATAAATATTAAATACTTTAATTATTTATTCGTTTTTCAATAACTATAAAACTTTAGAATACATATTAATAAAATATGTTACTATTCTTTAACAATTATTAAGTTTATCATCTTAAAATGCATTGAATTTTTACACAATTTAAACCAACCATATATATTAAAATCCTTAAAATAATTTAAAAGTAAAAATTCCTTTTAAACATTTGATTTGTATTTTAAAACAAAACAAATTAATATTTTTATTAAAATTTGGAGATTTAATTTCATATAAAGGTTCTTCTAACTGACAATATGCTTTTATACTAAAAGATTTAGATATATGAACATCTCAAAGCATGATGTTATTAATCAAAGCCAAATCATCACCTTAATGAATTGGGCTATTTTTCTGCTATTATTAAGAATTAAATTCTTATTAATTTGGTACTAGATGTAGGCATTAGGCATCCTTTCTTATTAAATTTAATAATTATAATTAAATTAATATTTATTAAACAATTTAGAATATTCTGGAAGAAATAGACCTAAATTTTTAAATGAATTAAACATGTAAAATATTTATTTTATTTATATTAAAATTCATAAAATGATTTGGCTAAACACATTTGGTTAAAAAATTGATATATTAATATTTTAATGTAACATTTTCTTAAAAAGATTACTACCTGTTAATAAAATATTACATAAATATTAATAATTCATTAAAATGTGTTTCCAATTATGATCTTTACAGTAGCATGTGAAAGGACCTAAATTTTTAATAAAATATACAAATTACTTTTTTAATTTACAGTAGAAATATGTAATTTGTTATGGAAATTAAAGAACATCAGATGATTAATGACATGGAATTTGATGCCGTCTACGATGATCGAGGAAAATCCTTAAAAATATACAGAAAGTTTTCAAATAATTCATTGAAGAAGATGATAATAATTTATTTTTGAATGCAAATGTAATGCAAATTGTTAAAACATGATAAATAAAATTTCATTTTTCTGATGTTTACTTATGTAAATGAATATTAATTATTATTCCTGTATGTTATGTTTTGCATAATATGCAAATAAAATTTACTATTATCAATTATTATTATGTAACAAGTGATGATTATATTTAAAATCATTACTTAAATTTAAAGTTTACAATAAATGAAGCTGATTTTTTTAAATTCAGTTCTAGTTATGATTTTACTGTTAATGGGAAAATAAATTATTCAAAGTTTGTGAAAATATCTATCATAACATGTTGAGAAAAGGTTGCAGGTATAAAAATGTAGTTTCTTTATTGTGTATTAACAAACTGGGTAATAACAAAATAAACTGTTTTTTACATTAAATTGATCGTTGGTTTCAAAAATATGGTTTATTTTGTAGCTTGTTTGTAACTTTGTGTAATGTTTATTTTAGACTATGTTATTTATTAACTGTAATCTAAAATAAACATTGAACAAAGTTACAAATAAATAAACCATATTTTTGAAACTAGCAATTTAATGTAAAAAAAGTTTATTTTGTTCTTATATTGTCAATTTTTGCATTCATACAATAAAGAAACTACATTTTTTTATTTTTGTAAACAAAACAAAAATTTTGTTTTTATTCTGATCTACTTTGAAATTTTATTATGAAAACAACTCTCAATTATTTTTTATTCTATGATGATCAAGGAAAATCCTAATAGAAGTTTGTATAAATATTAGCAGACCCCGCCAAGAGTTGTTGTGGCTCAAAATGTATCTATTATAAATTTATAACACTTCCCCCGTGGGGGGGGGATTTTTTGAAAAATTTCTTCTTAGTGTACATTCTGTTGACATACGCTATTAAAACGCAATCAAAAACGCAAAAACCCGCATCTAAAATAGTATAATAGAAGCCAAGGTCTTCATGGTAAGCCTTAATCCTCTCCCCCCCACGGGGGAATATCGAAAAATTTCTTGTTAGTGTACATTCTATCGATGTACCCTATTAAAACGCAATCAAAAACGCAAAAACCCGCATCTAAAATAGTATAATAGAAGCCAAGTTCTTTATGTTAAGCCTTAATCCTGTCTCTCTCCCCCACGGGAGAATATCGAAAAATTTCTTCTTAGTGTACATTTTTGTTGACGTACCCTATTAAAACGCAAAAACCCGCATCTAAAATAGTATAAATAGAAGCAGAGTTCTTTACCGTAAGCCTTAATCCTAACCATCTCCCTTCAGTGGGGTTGAATTTCGACATGTATATTATATAACAACACATGCGTATTCGAATGCAGTGTTGTCAAAATTTCAAAGGAATCGGTAGGAACAAACGAACATTACATTTTTATTTATATAAATAGAAGATGATCTGCTTTAGTTCATTTTCACAGAAAAGCAAACTTAGGGATTCATACTCGTAGCACCATCTGTTGGACATAAAAGCCTTAACCATAGATGATGATATTTAATTTATATGAATGTTTAATGGAATAATATACAGCCTATGTCCACCCTGAAGTTCCATTCTAAATATTGGTGAAAGAATTTTTGAAATTGGATGAGTAGTTTCGGAGATTACCTGCTACATCCAAACTTACTTACTTACAAACATTACCTCTTTATAATAATAGTATAGATTGATAGTAAATTTTTAATATGTGAATTAACTTTCACAAATTTGAAATTATGATTAAGCTTTTTAAGTGTTTGTTTTTATTTAAACTTAGAATTAAGTTTAAGTTTCTGCTCTTTTATTGTTCACTTAGATTTACAAGATCACAGGCAGTAAAAGTACATAGCACGCACGGCGGCCAAGACAAAATTGTGAGGCACAACATATACAATAGTGATGGTTGACATGTCTGGATGATTAACCAGACCACATTGGAAAGTCAAATATCATGCACTAACAGTTTCTTTACACAGCTGCTACTGTAAAGAGTTACCTGTAATATTTTATAGTTAGGACATATGCAGGCTCGGAAGCACAGTCTGTTTAAAAATTGGCATCAAAATCCCCTTTCCCATTTTGTTACATATCCAATTTGTTTTCAGAACAAACTTTTAACAAACAAAGCTTAATATAACAAATGATAATGATGATACCTAAATCTAATATTTACATTAACTGAATCGAAGAACCCCAAACGTGGTGGAATGCAATTTTTAAGAAGCACCTTTCAGCAGTGATATGTAATTATTCTGAATATAATATCAGCACTGCATTATGCTGAAAAATTCCAATGTCAGTAATCAAAAGTAAGAAAAAATAAAGAAAATATCAAATAAATAATACAAATCATTTGTAATATCAAAAAATTATTAGGGGAATACTTTATATAAAGATTCTTTTTATGATTTGAAAATAGATAATAAAAATCTTCCCCATCTGAAACATTTTTGTGTCACATTTGATTTCAAAAAACATCTGAAGAAAAATAGTGACACATTACTAAAAATACAAGGAATTCTGCAAAATGCAGTTTATAGTAGCAAGAGCAGGAACATTTAACAGGAAAAATCACATACATTCTTCATTGGATATTTGTACCTATTGTAGGCACTTTTCTTAAGGGATTTACTGAAGCATACATCAAAACACAGTTTCACAGATGGCAATTATCATTTCCAATTAGTCCCTTGTTAACTTGAATCTGCAATTAGAAAGAAATTTATTATTTAAATGAAATACAGTTTGTTTTTTTTTAATTTTACATTTATATCAGTTTAACATTTTGTAAAAATTTAACTCTTAATTACAGAAAACTAGACTATATTTTACTGGATAATCTGTTAGAGATATAATGATTTTTATAATTTGAAATGTTTAAATCTAATTTTAAAAAATCTAGAGTTTTGTGCTAAGTGAATTTGATAGATAGTATGAAGTATTACTTATACTATCACTTAAAATATTTTAAACTAATTAATTAAAGAAGTCAGTATATTTATTAGGATTTTAATGTTAGTTGGTTGCATTCAAAAAGTTACTTAGACAGTTGTTCTATTTGAGTTGTCAAAATATCTAATGTTAATCTGAAGATGGGATTGAAAATCCCTAAACCTGCTTAATCTGAATAAATATCCAGACTTTCACCCTTTGAAGCTTTTTTTATTGATATCATGTGGTTGATAATGACATAGTTAAGCAACTGGAATGTTTTATTAACAGTTTTTCATTCTAATATTTTTTCAGAATATATCTGTTATGCAATCAATATTTGCTCTCTAAAGAGCCAGAGAATAAGTTCTATGTAAAATGAAGCTTATTACTGACAATTCTCTCATTACATTATATTGAGGTACTATATGTACGGTACCTCAACATATGACTACTCTTAGAACAAACCTATCATAAGATCATTTGGTCACAAGTTGTATATGTAAACAACAACACAATGCATGCCAGATGGTAAAAGGAAGATCAGTATTTGCTACAAAAGTATTATATTACCCATTAAATAGTTTCCTGATTGTTGTATATAACATAGGGAAACTAGGGTGATCAGTCAAAAATGACCCCCCCAATATTTTTACACTTTTGGACTTGGGACCTTGAAATGTTGAGAAATACAAAAAAATTTAGGGGTTTTTCTATATTTATAGATGTTAATGGGCATGATTTTGTTCACCCATTTGAAGTTTAACTCATATCTTTTGTTGAAAATTTCTGAAATTTTGCAGGGAGATTCATGTATTAGGGGGATTGATGATTTTAAATTTTGATGGTTAAAGGTGAAGAAGTGGTGACATAGATAGGGTTGTGTGTCATATCTCAAGTAGGGTTGAACTTAATGAAGATTTTACTTTTTATTGGAATTTATAGTTTTATAAAATTCATTTCTACTCTCAAAGTTAAACTTTTTCCATTTTATAAAAAGTTCTTAAATAAAACATAACAGATGGCACCACATGTAAATTTGAATGTTGTTGCTGGATTTTTTTCTTATTGTAAATGTTAAAATTATAATCTGTTGATATTCCTGCTGTTTTTTAGCCTCTGAGAAATTTTTATGCTAAGGTAATACTATAATATTGATTAGTGTTTATGCTATAAACATTTATAATTTATGAAGTATAAATGTCATTAATGACAAAAACAGGATGTACTGTACATTGTTTTAATGAAGCTATTAATTATAGCTAGTATGAAATATACTATAGAGAATGAGATTTTGTGTACAGTTATATGCAGGGCTATGAAGTCAGTAGATGAAGTCCCCAGACTCCAGCTCAGAATTTCAGAAACCCAATTCTGACTCTAACTCCTGCCTCTAAATATTAATAATTTAAAACATTTTGGTTATAATAACCCAGAATGGCATTTCAACACTACCACGCAAATCATCAATCAACTTTTTAAGTATTTTTTAAGTGAATTATCTCACATTCCTATAAAACTGAAAGTATTTATCTTTTTTCATGGTACTTTTCATTATCATCACTATCATCTACATATTCAACCATAAATGATAAATGTTTTCCATCTGTGGTTTCAGTAAAGTATTCAAGTATACTAGATTTAACCAGAGTCATCTTAGCCATTTTGTAAGTCTTTTGACAATTAAATAAAAATTTAGAATTAGCTAACATAATGTATTCAATTATAAATTTCTGAAAAGAAAGTGAACAGTAAGTAGTGATATGCAAAGAAAGATCATGAAGAAGGTGAATAATCATAAAATAAGACCTTGCATTACAAGAGGCTCCTATAATGCAAGATAAGAGGTTAATCCTGTACATAATATGGAAAAAAGGAGTTGGAGTTGCCCCATTTTTCCAACTCCAACTCCTGCAGCAATGAATTTGTTTCCAATTCCACAGCTCCCTTACGTGTGTAATATAAATGCTTTTTCAAAACAACAGTTGGAACTTAATTATATCTCATGGGCTCAAAACCAAAATATATCTGCTTTGTTATTCAGACCAATTTACTAATACTTTTACATAAATAAAAATATTTCAAGGATTTGGTAACAATAATAATTTGTTAAATGATTATGATAATTTTAATTATAATTTCTCTTCAAACTGTAATAATACATTATTGTAAAAAATTCTTTCACAATAATTACAACAAATGTGGAGCTTATGGTTGGCATTGGGTTTTTTAGGGTACTAAACATGTGAAAGTCATTTGGTGCTAAATCTGGACTACGTGAATAATACATACCGTATTAGCCCGAATATAACACGACCCCGAATTTAATGCGACTCTGAAATTTTCATAAAGATATTTAGAAAAAAAATAATACTCATAAAAGAATTCAAAGAAAGTAAAATTCAATCAGATAAGCATTTATTTAGGTAATTATAGCTAATAACACAGGTTATCATGTCATGACACAGATTACAGGTTATTCATGTCAATAAAATTAAGTAATGTAAAACAAAATTAATATTACGTAAATAACAAAAAAAAAAGGAAATGTTTATTCAGAATCTGAACTGTTTTCAGAATGAGAACTCATTGATGTCACATCAGTATCATCAGTATTTTCATTCACGCTTTCAGTCTCCCACAAAATGTCAACTTCCGTCCCATTTAAATCATTGGAAATGCAGCATTTCTTGAAACCTTTAACTATCGATTCAGGTTCAATCTTCTGCCAGGCAGTCGCAATCCATTCTCCTAAAAGAGAGACTGAGGGTTTTTTTTATTTTTCCTGAAGGTGTCAATGGATGATTGCCAAATAATAGCCAATTGTTGTATTCTTTTCGAAAATTCTCTTTAAATGGGTTATTAACCACCACATCCAAGACTTGCAACTGAGAAGTCGTACTACCCGGTACTATTACAAGATCGGAATTCAATGCCTCAATTTTTTCCTTAACACTTGTCGTAAGGTGGCCTCGAAATGCATCAAGGACTAGCATGGAGCGGGATTTTCTCAGAGAACCTGGCCGTTTCCCCCATATTACATTCAACCAGTCTAATACCAACTTCTCTGTCATCCAACCTTTTTCTTGGACCTGAAAAAAATTCCTGGACACATCTTTTCTTTGGGCATTGTTTTACGTTTCAATGTAATGTAAGATCGAAGCTTTTGTCCGTCAGCAGTAACAGCAAGCATAACAGTAATTCTGGACTTTTCATAACCAGCTGACTTCAATAAGACCGTTTTTTCACCTTTCTTATTTACCATAAGGTCGGAAGGCATGTCAAAATAGACTGGTGTTTGGTCTGCATTTCCCATATTTCCAAGACTCTAGTTGTGCTTTTTGCGTAATGATATAACATGGCGCTGATAAGCCAACAATTTTTCATTAAAGTCGTCAGGAAGTTTTTGCTCGAGAGTTGTCTGCCGTAGTGTTAAACCATTCCTTTTCATCATTCTTCTACACCAACCCATACTTGCCTTAAAGTCCTTTCTAGGAATGTTTAAATTAGCAGCCTCTTCTAATGCTTTAAATCTTATGACTTCACGGGATATTGGGCACCTTTCATTTCGCTTTTCTATTACGAATTTTAACACTCTCTGCTCAACTTCATTAAACCTTCCTTCTTTAGGTCCACTAAAAGATTTTCTTGAAGAATTTGCATTCTTATATTTCCTTAAATCTTTTCTCCATAGGCGGATGTTTACTTCTGAAACTCCGTATTTCCTCGAAGCTCTCAAGTTGTTCGTTCTTTCTGCCTCGTTTGCAACCATAATTTTAAAATTCATATCGTAGGTTCTCCTGGTACCTTTATTTATTTGACTCTTTGATGAGCCTTTTTTCTCAACACTACCTTTATTACTCGCACTCATTTTTTATGGGCAATAAAGAAAAAAGTAAAGTAACTGTCGCTAGTCACTAGAGCAAAAAAACAAATGAAACAAAACAGTTGCATGAGACGTTAACAAGTGCTTACAAGACATAGCCTTACTATAGTAGCGCTATGCAAACAAAAGTGCAGGCCTACTAACTAGATCACACAGTTGTTTTGAAGTGGTCTGTCGAGCTAGGAATTGGTCAGACGTTCAGTCGCGTTTCAACCTCTGTAGGAAAATGTCCTTGTTTATATTACATTCCATTACTTAAACCCCAAATTTAGCGCGAGTCGATTTTTTAACGGAAAATAAATGGTCGAAAAATATCACGTTATATTTGGGCTAATACAGTATATTGCTCCATCCATTTTTTAACATGATATTTTTCTGCACAGCTGTATCTGACTTTGCATTGTGGAATTCATAATGTCTTTTCCAAATACAGGTAACCCCCGTATAACATGGCACTTCTATAGCACGGGTTCACTCTAACACTGTTTGAGAATTGGGAACATCCCCTGTATAACATGGTGCTTTTATAGCACGGATTCACTCTAACATGATTCAGGAATTGGGTATAACCCTTGTACAACATAAAATGTGATAAAGGATGAGTTTTTTATACGTCCGCGTAACTCCGCGCGAGCATTCTAATTGTTTTATGGCTACTTTGAATGTTCTTTCAACAAATAATCCATTTAATGGTTAAATTATACAATTGGGACCCTTCTTTTGCCTCTAAAAGCTCATTTTAGAATTATAGATTCCTCCACACGATACTATTGATAGTGCGGGCGCCGCCGTCTTTCTTTCACCGTCGTTCCTAAATGCCTATAAACAGCAGCGCACTCCCGTTGCAGAGTGACCACTATTAACTACCCACAGAACGAACCCACAGCATGAGCATCATCAACTGGTAACAGTTGATGATACTCATGCTGAGATCATCATATAGGATGAATAATCCTCTGGTAAAATATTTACTTAAATAATAAGTATTTTACCTATGAAAAAAATGAATAAATCGGATTTAAATAAGGATTTAACAACATGTTTTTTAATTTTTGGAACCTAACCCCCCTTTTCGCACTAGTTTTTGTTTTGTATAACACAGATTCGCATAACATGGCAATTTTCTGGAATGTAACTCCTGTGTTATATGGGGGTTACCTGTACTTGAATCAGTTGCTGATAAATTTATCACAGACATGTTTTACTGAAGTAGTCAGATAACATGTTGGACTCCCTCTCAAGACTAAACCTCTGGTTATATCATTTTTAAGCAGCTACTTGTATTATACTCCTCAGTCCCCCTTTTTCATCCCAGCCAAAGGGGTTTTATTCCTCAGCTGGGCTTTCAGGAGGGGGGTTTTCTCCCTCTCTTAACATTTTCACTGATGTCTCAAAAGGGACAATATGATGGGTGCCTCCTTTGTCATTAAGGACTGCACTACTAACAAGTTTCTCTACTTTGAAAACTATCAACTGGCTGGCTACTGCTCTATTATGCAAGCAGACCTTTTTGCTATTTAGAAGGCAATTGTCTATATCAATAACAGCAGGCTCTCCAATCACCAAACTGCTATCTGCTGCATTAACAATTAAGTGTCACCTCTAGTGTTGCTACCTTTTCAAAATTGCTGACCTGGACAGGGTCAGAAATTTATAAAAATTGGAAACACTGTCTTGAACAGGTAACCATTTTTGAAATTTTGTGTTAGCCAATCTTTATTAAATTTACAAGTTTCCTTCCTCTTTTTTAGAGCTTTCAATTTCTTGAGTTGCCATATTAAATAATTAAAATAGAAATAATAAACTTGTAAACTGAAACAGCACATTCACTTTACAATAGGTTTGTTCTAACACAAGTCCCTAACTGGTTTGAATTTGAAACTGTATGAGGCATGTGCAGTGTCATTTTACAGCAAGAAATGAACAATGCACATGCCAGTTTTAAACTAGTTAGGGACTTGTCTTGGAACAAACCCAATATTTGCCAGAGATATTTGCAAGTTAGAATTTTAAAAATAGAAAATTTTACATTTTCTGTCACTCAGCCTAGGGATAAGATGGAGATAACTTTGGGTGGGAGTGTGAAGTTAGTGTTTAACCGTTAAAATTAAATTTATAAAAATATTTGCGAGTATTTTATTTGTTTTATCACAATTTCTATGAAAACCAGAGAAATTAATTATTAATCTGGACCATGAATTTAAAAACCGGCTTGACCAGGTGAAAACCAGCCTGGTGGCAACACTAGTAACCTCTCTAAGCTCACTGATTTTGAAGTTCTTAAAAATAGGGACAATTACATAGCCTTTTCCTGGGTTTGAGGGCACTGGGCTGGATGGTAATGAGAGAGTGGATGCCCTGACCAAACAAGCAGCCTCTTCCTCTGCAACAGTTACTTATGGCAGGATCCTTTTTCTAAGGTTAAATTGTTTTTCAGAAACTTGTGGACTTCATTTACACCACTAATGTGCTGGAACTACAGTTCAACAACTAGGACTTTCACATCTACCTGGTATTCTACATATGTAATTTTGTTTCTGTAATACACTGTTTACCAGAACAAAAACACTTATTGTGTTAGTAATTTCACTACCCTTTGTCCAGCAACTACAATATTACCCAATGCCCTCCAGTGTTATCTCATCTGTTGGGCCTAGGCTTGCCTTGTCATCATCCTGTAAACTTACTCTTTAATGTTTATACTAATAAACTATGCAAACCTATGTATTTGGATGTGCAAAAATTTATATATTGGGTATTAATATTTGTAACTTGGACATTGAACTGTATTTTGTTTGGTATAATAAATGCAATGCAGAGGCACCCACAGACTCTCCCTCTTTACCAACTTTTCTTTCACTCTTTCCTTCCCCTTCTACTTTTTACTCTCTCAACCTCATCTATTATCTTTTCCTCACACTAGGAAATAACTTTGAGTGGTCTTAGTATTTCTGCCCCATTTTGTTACTGTCTACTGTTCCTTTAGCTAGAAAATTGTCTTATAGTGCACTACTGACTATGGACAGTGCTGCCAACAAATGTCAGTCTGTAGAACCACATTTCACATAGAGGTGGAATTGAAGCTGTTACATGATGCACAATTCATTTTTACTACAAGTGACAAACAGTGAATAATATCACTGAGTAATCACTTTTATTGAAATAATCCTCATACATAAGAAATATTCAAATGTGACTTCAAGTTTTTTCTTAGGTAATTAAATAGTGTTTTTATTATGAATTAATTCTTTTACCTATTTATAAAATATATACTAAACCTTGAAAGAGAAGGAGTGTGTATAAAGCCAAAAGAATTTAGAGCTCACAAAAATGTTAAAGCCTTTAAGAAAACAATTTTAACATTCAGGTTATATAAATTGTAAAAAGAAAGAATTGGAAATAGAACAAAATTTATCTAATATAAACTTAAAAAATTACATAAAAAGTCAATTACTTGGAGGAGGAGAAGATTCCTCCTTAGCTTCTTTCTCTGTATCAGTACTCTCTCCTGAAGGAACACTTGTAGCTTTTCCATCTTTGGCTTCTTTTTCTTTTCCTTTAGTGGGCTATAAATTATACACATACAAGAAATATAAAGTCAGTGTCTTTTTAGAGATTTTTTTAAAATGCAGCATTTATTATGAACTTACTTGAGGTTTAGGTTTTGGTTCCATGTTTGGATCCAATGTAATCTTTCCCACATTTTTACGGTCATGAAGCCTTTGCATAGCTTCTGGAACCTGAAAAATTAATAAATTAAAAAATAAAAATATTAACTGATTACATATTTTTTCTTTTATAAAATAACTGATTTTATAATAAACTGATCATTTTTATTTTATTACATAAAATATAAAATTTTATTTAACTTATTTTTATAAAGTTTACAATTCCTCCATATTGATTCATACAGTTTGTGTATTTATCAATATTTCTATTTTAACTGTAATATAATAGGGACACATCAGTATGTAATCTATGTACTTTAATTCTGGACTCTGATATTTAATATCCTTGATTAATTTTATGCTTTCTTAAAAAGATCAACTGAAATTTGATCATCAGTTTGGTTAAACTTGAATAACTTCAACTATTCAACTCTTGTGATTTTTATAACTAGCATCCTGCATACTGGCAATGCAACTGCACAGTATGTGAGAGTTGCAAATTTGAGTTCTACTTTGGGCTCATTCTTTTCTTCCAGAACCTTCTAAATTAATTATTAAAATATTAATTTAATTATAATTATTAAATTTAGCAAAAGATGGTGGCTAATGTTTCCTCTAATGCCAAATTATTATACTTAGCATTTAATTAATTAAAATAGTAATAATATAGCCCGATATAATTTGATGATTGATTAGCTTTAATTTTACAACTATACAATGGTGGATTTATTTATTTGTTTATAATAGTTTAGAATTTTTTAACAGTTGTTATATTGTTATATATTATTTTAGGAAATATATTAATAATAAACTGCAATATTGAACATGTTATATTGTTAAGAAGTTTCTAGACGTTGATACATATACCAATAACACAGCTCAATGTTACACTTGTTTAGGTAGCTAAGCTAAGCTTTGACTTCAGTCTGGCATAGCACATGGCACCAGTATCAGCTGAGCATGACATTGCAACATAACTTATAAAGTGAGAAACTTTTGTATGTGCTACTGTTTAAAAAAAATCATTAAAAAATGTAAAAGTTTGTAAGCATGCTTATGTTTAATAAAATGCTACACCTAGATCTAGGTGTAGCATTTTATTAAAGAGAGTATTTTCAGATTAACCTATAAACTCTATAATACAAAATATTAAAATTTTTAAAAAAATTATTAGTAATTATGAAATGTTTAATAGTCCTACAAAATCCTCTTCATCTCTGGAAAAATGTTCTCTTTTTTGAGAAAAAACACTGTTTATTCCTACTAGTTTTCTCTCTTAGATTTTCTTTTATATAACATATTTATTTATCCTTGAGAAAATTTGATATTTAATATTTTATTATAATGAAAGTAGAAGGGTTGTTATATAACAGTCAGTAGAGTGAAGATAAAAAAAATATATGTGTGGCTACATGCCTGTTTTTATTATTATTATTAGTCTATAGTTTTAGTTTAATTTAAATTCTAGAATTTTCCTTCTTTCCAATTTCTGTTCCTTTGTCTCGGACTTCTGAGAACTCGTCTCACTCCTAACCCATCAGGGGGTAGCGTTAGAACAAAAGGAGAAAACGAGGTTGATGGGAAAAAAGGAGAGTTTCTAGAAGCATTCTTAGGCCGGACTCGGAGAGAGACAGACGAGTGGCAGCAGGCTCTTGAATGGAAAGTCGAGGAGCGCTGCAGAAGGAGGCCGTAAGAAGCGGATCGGTAGAAGAATCTGGTCGACGATTATAGAGAAAAAACCCCAAAACTGACCCGAATTGTATTAAGAGGAGAATAAACAAGAAAGAGAAGCCAAGACGAGGAACAGTGGAGAATCAACTGAAAAAATTCTGTCCTTTAATTCTTCTCATTTCCCCTTCTACTTTTTCTATTTTTAGTTTAAGTTAGGTTAAGGTTTACGTGTGCAAATAAATTGTCGGGAGGTAGTTATTGAGAAATTAACTACCAGTCTATTGATATACCTGGTCACTGAAGATTGTGGAACCGTTTGAAGGAGAACAGCAGGAATCCAAACCTATTCAGTATATATATTTCAAATTCAGTGCGAAATTAAACTCATTTAATTGGTAAAATGTGTATGTGTTTTCCTGTCTGGGTTGAGCATTTCATATATGAATGATGACTGGTGGTCGTATGGTCTTGAACCAGAGACTAAGACCACTGGCTATTTATATTACAAACCCGCTGTAATTACATGTGCTCACCTAATTAAAAGTTTTTACATCTATGTGTTAAAAGTATTTTACAATTTGTTTGGANATTTCATATATGAATGATGACTGGTGGTCGTATGGTCTTGAACCAGAGACTAAGACCACTGGCTATTTATATTACAAACCCGCTGTAATTACATGTGCTCACCTAATTAAAAGTTTTTACATCTATGTGTTAAAAGTATTTTACAATTTGTTTGGACTGCACATGTTTTTTTCATAATATAAAACACATTTTGTATGTTGTTTTATATTTTATTTGTTGTTTTTTATATTATTAATTTTAGTCTCCAGTAAGCAAGTATATATTTATTTAGTTGTTTTTTTCTGTAAATATATATTAATTCGCACTTATATACTTTGATTTTTGTTTTGTAATATTATTATTTTATATGTGATAAAAGAGAATAATTAAATTAGTTATCAATATTTTTTCCTTTTTTTTGAACTATTTACTATTAAAACAACACTATCAGATATAAAATAGATTTTTATTAAAAAAACACTACAACCACCAGCCGTCAAACCACTTCATGAGGCCACATGACGCTGGAGGTTGGAGACAACTTTATACATGTCTGCGAGAGGCCACCACTAAGATGTAAAACGTCGTCTTACGAAGCCAGGATAATTTAACCTTGAGTGAAACTACATTGGTTATAGCGACATTGGGTGGTCAGATGGCTCTGTATGACCCTAACTAGTACAACCACCTGCGCATCAGATGGCAGTTAACATGTTAAAGTTAAGTTTTCAAACAACTTAATAACCTGAAGCATGCTCCTAAAAAGTAGCTGAAAACATTTGTTTTTTTTCCCCCCACATGTGCTAAAATACATATGTATAGTGTGTTATGTTGTTTAAAGCTAGAAGTGTTTTTTTCCCTCTTCTCTATTGAAAGACAGTCATGATTTGTTGATTTTTATGGTGATATACTGCATGAGAGGAGTCAGAAGTATCATACAAATTTTGGCTCTTATTTAGTGATGGTCGGAAATAATATATATCTAGTCACAAATATATATCAGTTTTAAACTGAACTCTTCAATAGTCTCTTAAAAACCATATTTTCTTTCTTATAGAAAATGGGAAATAAAAGTAATAGATTACCAGACCTGAAAACTCCTGGAGTACTTAGGCTTCAAATGTAATTTCCATACAATTAATTTGAAGGTAGAAATTTAGAAATTTGCATAATGAATTGATTTATAAAATTCTTTTGTCTAATTCCTTTGGAAATATTAAAATTACTTCTAGAAAGAATATAATAAAATCAGATGAAAATCACAAAACAAATCAAAACATTAAAATTTTGAAGTAAAGTTTCAATTTGCTACATGTACAGATAAACAATTACATTAGAATAGCTTCAAAATAAGCATAAATGTCTTGAAGTAGTGTTTGTTTCATCTAACATTTCAATGTCCCATGACAAGACAGTGTTAAAAAGATCTGAAGAGAAAGTGAGAACAGCTTTGAAAATATTAATAAAAATATTTTAGGATAGAAATGATATATGAAGAAACTTAGTTTTCTCAGCTAGCAGAATATTAAACTTAATTCAAATTTGTCGACCATGTGCTTCACTAACCTGCACACTTGAAATCCGAAAGTTTGTGGATCGTCACAGCGAGAGTCTAACAATTATTTTTGGACATTTAAGTAGTAAGTACGAGTATTTTGTTTTCTCAACCAACCCCCGAAGTAGAGATGCAATCATCGCAACCGGAGACAGTCGCCAAGGTTTCTGTGAAACCACCGTCTTTTTGGAAAGCAAACCCCAAGATTTGGTTCAGGTAGATGGAATCGCAATTCTTGTTAGCGGGAGTCACAGTAGAAGTGACAAAATTCCATCACATGGTTTTGGCACTCCAGCCTGAGGAGCTAGCAGTTGTGGCAGATATCATCCTAAATCCCCTAGTAGATAAGCCATACGAGGCTCTTAAAGCCCACCTGTGCCGGCAATATGCCAACAGCGAGGTGCAGAGGCTAAAGGACTTAATATCAGGAATGCAGCTAGGGGATAAGAAACCGTCCAGACTACTCTTAGAAATGCGCAGCAAGGTGTCAGCTCAAATAGGCGACGACCTACTAAAGTCACTGTTTTTGCAATGATTGCCATCTAACGTTCAACAGATCTTAGCTATCTCCAACGACAGTCTCGACAAGCTGGCAGAGATGGCGGACAGGATACTAGCTGCAAAGTCGAGATAGATCCCGAGCCAGAGATCGGTTCATGAGCCGCCAGAGACGTTCAAAGAGCCAAAGTGGCTCAGCTGGAAGGCCAATGCTGGTACCACCAGCATTTCAAAGAGAAAGCACAGAAGTGCATCAAACCCTGTAGTTTCCAACAGGGAAACTAGAAGGGCAGTCACTCGACGGGGTGAGTGGTGGCACTCTGGAAATTCACTGCCTATGCCTTTATGACCAGTTGATGTGCAAACGTTTTCTAGTGGACGCAGGGGCAGATGTGTCTGTTGTCCTTGTGCCGTGTAACCAGGCAAACCGATCACCCAAGAAACTGCAACTCTTCGCAGCTAATGGGACCACAATAAATACATACAGCCAAAAGTTGTTTAAATTAGATCTAGGTCTCAAAAGAGCTTTTCACTGGCCTTTCATTCTTGCAGCAGTCTCTCAACCTATTATCGGAGATGATTTTTTGCGCCATTTTGGACTACTGGTAGACATCCACTGCAGCCGTCTTGTAGATCCACTAACACAGATGAACTCTAAAGGCAAGATTATGGCCGGACCCCTAACCACCATTAGATCTGTGGGGAAAGATACGCCATTTCATCAGCTCTTGGCAGAGTTTCCCAAGCTGACAGAGGTTTCCACGGCACCCCACCTTGTCCGACACAACGTACAGCATCATACTGAAACCAAGGGACCCCTAGTTTTTTCCAGACCTTGATGTTTACCACCTGATAAGTTAAAAGCAGTGAAACAGGAGTTCGAATTTCTAGTTGCACAAGGCATCTGCCATCCCTCAAAGAGTAGTTGGGAGAGTCCACTCCATATGGTGCCAAAAAGCAATGGGGACTGGCGGCCGTTGTGGCGATTCTCATAGGCTAAACGCAGCCACCATCCCAGACTGATACCCTGTGCCACACATTCAGGACTTCATCCAAATGTTGGAAGGAAAGCAAATATACTCCATCTTAGACCTAGCAAAGGCATACCACCAGATCCCAGATAAAACAGAGGACGTTCCAAAGACCGCAGTTACTACGCCATTTGGATTGTGTGAATATCTTTTTATGCCTTTTGGTCTCTCCAACGCAGCTGCTACCTTCCAGTGTTTCATGAATCAGGTCCTGCAAGGATTGGAGTTTTGCATCCCATATTTTGACGATGTGCTCATTGCCTCAGCAGATGTAACAGAACACTTACAACATCTTTGTATGGTATTCAAACGTTTTATCCAATATGGTGTGAAGCTGAATGCTTCAAAATGCATCTTAGGCAAATCAACTATCCCCTTCTTGGGCAATCTAATATCCCCAGCAGGCATTACGCCCTTACCAAGCAAAGTATCGACCATAAAGGAATACCCTAAACCCACAACCATCAGAGAACTCCATCGATTTTTAGCAACGATAAATTTCTATAGGAGGTTTATCCCACATGCAGCTCACACACAGGCAACCTTACACGCATATCTTAAAGGGACGACTAAGGGGGATAAGATAAAAATCGAGCTGTCACAAACGGAGATGGAGGCTTTTGAGAAGTGCAAGTCTGACTTAGCGGAAGCCGCCACACTGGCTCATCCGTCGACAAAAGCACCACTGGCAATCGTCGTCGACACATCTGACACCGCAATGGGAGCTGCACTGCAGCAACAAGTGTCTAATCACTGGCAGCCGCTAGCCTTTTTTAGTAGGAAGTTCTCACCAGCACAGCAAAAATACAGTGCTTATGATCAGGAGCTGTTGGCTGCATACACTGCTATCAGGTACTTTCGACATATGGTCGAAGGTCAGCCGTTCATATTATTCATGGACCATAAGCCATTAACGTATGCCTTCCCACAAAAAACCGACAAATGTTCTCCTAGGCAGCTGTGACACTTGGATTTTATCGATCAATTTATGATGGACATTCGCTTTGTTAAAAGAGAAGACAACATGGTAGCAGATGCCCTCTCGCGAATCAACATATCCACCATAGAGACACCGTCGTTTATCAATTTTCAGGAGATGGCCATGGCGCAACAAGGGGACAGCAAACTGAAAGATTTTTTAGCAGGTAATACACCTAGTGCACTCAAGTTACAGTCACTGCCAGTGGGAGAGCTAGCCATCAACCTGTATTGTGACACCTCCACTGGCCAAATATGACCTTTTGTGCCTAAGGACTTTTGTTGGCAGGTCTTTAACAATCAGCACGGATTGTCTCACCCTGGTGTCAGAGCTTCAGTTAACTTGTTCAAAAACGATATGTTTGGCCGTCAATGAGAGCCAACGTGTCAGCATGAGCCCGTACAAGAATTCCTTGCCAACGAACAAAAGTCTCTCGCCACACTAGAAGCCATATGGGTACCTTCGTTCCCCCAAATGCTAGATTCGAGCACATACACATCGACTTGGTAGGCCCCTTGCCGCCATCGGAGGGATACTGGTATTACCTCACCTGCGTGGATCGCTTTTCCAGGTGGCCAGAGGTGTTTCCATTAGTTGAAAGCACTGCACAAGTAGTAGCGGAGATATTTTATTCTGGATGGGTAGACCGTTTCGGCCTACCACTACGCCTAACAACCGATCAGGGAGTTCAGTTTGAATCTTCACTGTTCTCAGCCCTTACTTCTTGGTTGGGGATGGAGAGAATCTGCACGACTCCCTATCATCCAGCAGCAAACGGCCAAGTGTAACGGTTCAATCGCCAACTCAAGGCAGTGATCGTGGCACATACTGCAAGCCAATGGACTGCGGCACTCACTACAGTGCTCTTGGGTTTTAGAGCCGTCTGGAAGGACGACATCCAGGCAACAACAGTGGAGATGCTCTATGGAGCCCCCATACCAGGTGAGTTTAGCTCCACTGTGACCATCCTGACCCAGCTACCTTTGTCAGTAGGCTGAGAGAGGAGATACAAAAACTCAGACCTGTGGCACATCGTCCCAAAAACGCAGCAGTGTTTATGCACAGAGACCTTCCCTCCTGTTCACATGTTTTCCTGAGGACCGATGCTGTCCAAAAAGCACTACAACCGCCGTACAAAGGGCCATACCATGTATTAAAACGAGGAACCAAAACCTTTAAACTAGTGGTGTGAAATCGGCACATCAGCGTCAATATTGACAGACTTAAACCAGCATACATATGTGCAGATGACGCAGAGAATCTCCCATCCATAACAGAGACAACAACAAAAGCATCAACAACAGTAACCCCAGCAGAGAGAGCAGCAGTCTCGCCACCACAACAAGATACCGTCACACGTGCAGGTCGTCTGGTAAGATTCAACCCCAAATACTTATAAACATTGGTAATATCTTGCTGTCACTGGCAGGGGACTACTGTTTCAGTCGCGATCTACTTCTTGTTAAGCCGTAACAGTCACGAGATATTTCATGTACATATATTAGTCGCGGACCACTTTCTGTAAAGCGGTAAAAAAGCCAGAGCAGTAGCGTAGGAAGACTGGAGACACTTCTGGACTAACTGTCTTAGCATCTGGCCGCATGTAGCTACGCTCCACGTTTCGTACAACTGCTTATACCCCAAGTAAAATTTAAAATTGGAGTTAGCCATTGTTATCTCTGAATAAATGTTTTTATATAATATTGATACATCGTGTCAATCAATTAATTATTATATCGGCTAGTTGGGAACAACCCAACAAGGGCTACATCATTGATTATTCTTTCAATATAATAATATTGAAAGAATAATCAATGTATAAGAATAATCAAGTCTCAACCTTTTATACTATGTTATTTTTCTTTAACAATGCTAATAACTTATTGAATCTGCCTCATACTTATGTAATGTTAGCTGTTACTTACATCTTCAAATGCCCAGGTAGAATCAATGACAGTTTTAATCTTTCCTTCTTTCCACAACCTGAACACTTTTTCAACAATACCTCTGATGTATTCATGACCTCCTTGTTGGTAAAGCAGGTGTCTAAGGTTGAAGCCTGAGATTGACTTATTTTCATCAAACAGTTTTATTGGGTTTACTTTATCCACTTGCCACCACTGAAAAAGAATACTCATACTGAAATGTTTGAAATTAAGATGTACGAAACTCTCCAAAATTATGGAAAATTTTTAATATTTCTTCCTTAATTATGGAAAATTCATAAAACTATATAAAAAAATATATATAACTTTGAAAATACACAAGAAATTCTTTCAGTAAATGCTCGTACTAAGAAATAAGCATAGTTTGAACAAAACATGATAAAATTAACACAACAAATTCAAATTAATATCAATATAAAATAAACATTAAAACAAAAGAACAACAACAAAACAAACACAATATATAAGCATGCATTGTACTCACAGACTTAGTTATACTAAAGAAACTTTTTGTCTCTCCAGTAACAATGCTGGAAGAACCTGAAAGAGAAATACTTTAATATTACTCACTGATTTGGCAAAACTGAAGAAGCTTTTGGTTTCGCCAGAGACAATACTTCCAGTTCCTGCATGTAAGAAAATAGATCAAACTTTAATAATCTCAATAAATAATAATGTTAAATATATGAAAAGCCATAATTCAGTATATTAGTATATTCATATATTATAACTCATTCTGACATTACTGAATTTTTCATTTGTAAATTATCTCTCATTAGTTTTTGATTATGCAAAAAAGATACTAACATCTGTTCTATATTTTGATTAAATTATTCTATAGAATTTAACATTTACTGATTAACTTTTAAAAAGTTAAAAACCACTCATATTTGGTGCTTGGAGTGCATAGATATCATTAAGTTTCTGCAGAAATGAGTTGCCCAAATTTACATTAAGAGTGCAAAACACCAAGTAGAAAAGTAGGTCCTTCACAAGTGCAAACGTTAACAGAAACTTCAAAAACTCAGGCAACTAAAGAAAATGTATGGTTGGAGTTTACAAATGCTTGTGCTGACTGCCACCCATTCATGTATTTCAAAATCATTTGCAGTGTGCATGGGTATCAAAGTAATTTCAATTGATGCTTCACTACCAAGAGAAACTATCTTTTGCAAATACCTGAAATAGAAAAACAAGATATTCAAGAAACTTGTAATATTTTAAATGGAAAGGATATCCAGTTGGTGCTTGATGAGTCCGTGGACATTAAAAATAGAAAAGTTGTGTGCTAGTACTGTAATGAACATAGAAAAAGTGATCAGTCCCTAGTAGTGAAATTACTATATGCCTTGTTACTACAAAGTTTATCAATAAATACAATGCAAATGTCATTGTAGGTTTAGTTCTGAGATAGCTTCAAGTAGTAGAAATAAAACCAAAGTTTATTGTGTTGTGAAAAATAATTTGCTCTATATTGGCAGCAGAATGAAGGCTGAATGCAGTATGAGTGTTACACATGCTATCTGCTAGGCTCATATTATGCATCTGGCTGCAGAACTGCAAATGTATTTGAAGGTGCTTGATACAAATATAGCTTGTTTTATAACTGTCCTTGTCAAAGCATCTACTTAACAGCATTTTCAGAACATTCCTTGCAGTTGGAGAAACAGCTGTATATTTCCTATAACACCACTTTTGACAAGCTAGAGTACTAGGATGAATGAACTTTTGTATCATGCTGTTAACTAATTTTTAACTTAGCTTTAACTTGTTAGCTTTGTTTAACTTTAAGGAGAGTCTGAATGGATAACTAATACAAATGAAGGTAGGACCTTCAATTCTGTAATCACACTGCTAATCTTGCCTAACTTTAAGGAACAGTTAGACAGCATATCTAGTGTAGGTGAAATTTGTAAAGCCACAAGTAGGTTGGAAGGATTAATATTTTAACATGTCATATGATGATGCTTTTGCAGTATGCTTCCCAAGTAATGTGACTCTAATATTCCACGCAGGAAGCTGGATGAATATCTCTCAACTAACCATCCATGTCTGTAATTTTGGAAGGATGTTGTTGCTTGATCCTATCTTATGATATTCAGAGCTTCCAGAGACCTTAAATCTGTTTCTCCAATTGAGACTAACATATAAGGTTAAGTTACAGTTGATTAAAAATTTAAAGAATAACACAAATAATCCAGTTACTTTTTGAAAATTGGTTAGTCATGAACTTGCAGCTTTGAGCTAGCTTGCAATTGATGAACTGATAGTGTTTTCCACCAGTGCAAATATTGAGAGGAATTTTTCCTGACTGAAATATTAATGCCTAAAAGAACCAGGTTGACTGAGAAAACCTAAACCATTACATGCACTTAGCTTTCAACAAAAAGACAGTGAATGAAGAAGTTATTGTTGAACTATAGGAAGATGAATTATTGTAAAAGAAATAAATGGTCATTAAAGGTTCAGTATATTTTACTTTTTTACTACAGTAGAGCGTCGATTATCCGAAAGTCAATCATCCGAAAGAATTCCTGTCGGCAAATTTAAATTTTCGCCAGTGCTGTGGTGCTGCAATCTTTGNTTATTTTCAAAAAAATATACGTATTTTGGAAATGTTGAGTCGAATTAGTCTAGAATCGATTAATTTTATGAAAGAAAACCTTTCAAACAGCCGTAGTCCGTAAACTATGATTCCTACAAAATTGATTCATAAAGAACGGAACGTATCTACCATCTTATAGGGGGATCTACTGTAATATATATATGTAATGCTTAATTTTACTGTAAGTAAAATTAATGCATAAAAATTAATTTATAAAAGCATAAAATTAGTAGCTCTATTAATTAGATGTACAAAAGTTAAAAGATTCACCATTACTCTTATAAAACAATTATCTGTAATGTCAGAATTGTCTAATGCATGTTTAGATATAAGGCATTTAAAAAGAGGTTACTTTTATGTAATTCATTGGCATGGTACATTTCAAAAACTATATTATATCAAAAATAAACAATCTCATACCATACAGTATATATCGTCCAAGAGGTTTCAATAAACTGTAACCTTTATTAACATCTTCTCCACATAAGCAATCTAAAACTAAGTCAACACCTTCTGGAGATAATCTGAAAACATTTTTATGGGCTTGTAAATTAATATAGTGACTTGAACAATTAACAGAAATTTGAAATAACTACTTTTTCACTTCTTGTACATAATCTACTCCATGATCAATGAGATGCGTAACTGAACTTTTTATATCTTCATGTTTATGTTTAGAAGCAGTTCCAATCAAAGTAATATTTGGAATCATTTTAGCCATTTGAGCAACAGCTTGACCCTAAATTTAAAGTTTTGCAATATGAAACCTAAAAGTTTTTAAAAAATTAATTTATTAAAAAATAATTTCTTACCACACCACCACCTGCAGAATGCATTAAAATGGTATTTCCTTCACGTAGATTACCCACTTCAAATAGTAGGATGTAAGCTACTACATTATTCAATAACAGAGCTGATGCATCCTGAAAACTCATTCCTGGTGGAAGTTTGTAGACAAATTTTGCTGGAACAGCCGTTAATTCTGCCCAGGCTTTATATTCACTGAGAGCTGCTACTTCGTCTCCTACCTAAAATTAAATATCCATTTTGTTTTTTAAATACAAAGATTTAAAGTATTTTAAAATTTTAAAACAATTCTTACCTGAAAGTCTGTAACATTCTCTCCTAAGCTTTCAATGACACCAGCACATTCAAATCCCATGATAAAAGGTGTTTTTACAGGATTGTCCAATACACCCTGTCGTACCATCACATCCAAGAAGTTAAGACCACTAGAAGTTAAATATGACAATAAAATTATCTATATAGAATTTATAATTATTTTTCTTTTTTTGTAACTTCACAAATCAATTCTATATTAGTTTGCTTGCCATTTACAACTGTAGTTCATAACTTATTAATTTTTGAAAGTACAGTATTAATAATGTAAGAAGACATAAGAAGTTCTTACATTTAAATTTTATTTCAAAAAGTAACAGCCAACAAATTGTAGTCCAATATATTCAAATAAAGATCTAAACTACTGGATTATTAAAAAGACTAATAGCACTTCTATGTAATTTTGTATAAAGGTAGCTAGGTAAGCAGAAACTGGATTTGTCTCACTCCAGGTTTATCTTTTCTTCCAAAATGTCCTAAATTATATTAATTTTAGCATTAAACATAATAATAGTACAAGACAGCAAAGTAACTGCTTATCTTCAGACCAAACTATGTAACTTAATTATCTAACTAATAGCACTATTATAGTCCATTTAATAATCCAGTAGTCTAGATCTTTGGTAACAAATAAATGTATGTACTATGCTAGCTTCCATGCTTCTGATATATAAATACATTTAATATACAAAACAAACTGTATAGTATTAATATATTTACCACCAATAATTACATAAGATATAAATATAATAAACTGATAAATTTCATTGCAAGATATGCAGAAATTAAATCATGTAGTATTTATTTGTATGTGGAATTTAAGTTTCTACTGTTTTAAAAAATATTTTCAGACTCTCTTCCATGAAAGTATACCTCCAACAATGATCTGAAAAGCTTGAAAGTATAGAGATTTTATATATACTCTTTTATTGAAGAGTCAGTTAAAAATTCAATTTATTATTTCAAAAACAAAATTTACTTTTAATGCAATAATTCATTTGTTGATTTTAAGATAGAAAATTCCCAGAAAAATTGCTATAAAATTAAACAACTTAAAATAAAAAACTTTTTAACAGTAATTTAAAACCTTTTTCAACAAGTTTAGAAACTATCTTGCAGGCTACCACGAAGCATGACAGAAAAACCATATTACTAAAAATTTATATAGTATAAAAATATTCATGTGGTAAGTTTGGCAATGTTGAAATTCATAATGTCAAAAAACTTTCCATGATAGTTTTTAATGTACCTTTTGAGTTTGAACAGTTTACCACAGGAACAATTTCCCTTTTTTTTTTAGTAACATTCAGTGTAGCTGAACCTTATTGAAGGGGAAATCTTTCTTTCTCAAATAACTTTGATTAAAAAATCTTATTAGCATCATAACTTGAACAACTTAAAATAAATTTATAAACTTTCTTTGGTCAAGACATTCTCCAAATTTTGTTAATCTATTTATTTATCACAGAATACATCTATTAGTGGTATTTGTAATGTACAGAGTCTGAATATCTAGTTATGTTGTTACTAACCTTGCAATTTATTGCCTAACTGAGTGTAGAAGAAAAAATGTCAAAGTTCATTTATTCCATTTGTCAAATTCTTTCATTATTCAAAAGCTAAAAACAAGAACTAGCTAGTTTTTTTTTTAGTTCATTTACTTATTATTTTGATGATTATTAATGTATGAATTATATTACTTACATAAACTTATTACTTGTATTAGTAACGTGGTAATTTTCCAATTTAAATACTATTAATTCATATCAAAGGTTGTGGCGTCAATTTGAAAATCTTATTAAAGCAATGTTGGATTTAAAAGTTGTATTTGACATATGTGACAACCAAGTGCGATAATGAAAAAATTTACAATTTTCCTTTATTATAATTATCTTTTATTTTCTGATTTACTTGTTAGACATACAGTTTTTGTAGTTTCAAACTATGCCAGGAAGAAACAAATATGAAGAATTTTTATTTCTTTGATATTTTCAAAACCTCATCAGAAGTTTATAGTTTAATAGCAAAATTAAATGAAGATTAAAGGTATCAAAAATTACTTTCTTCCTAAATACCAAATTTCTGTTTTAATATTTTGTTCTTTCAAAGTTAAATCAATTAGGAGTTTATAATTTCCACTAATTTACCGTCTGGACCCGAGATAACTCGGGCAGGTTGCATAACGTTACAAAACAAACAGTCGTTTGGACGCCCATTTTTTTTATTTTTGGATGTTTTTTGTCTCCAAATTTTTTCAAAAATTTTTACCCGCGCGAAAAAATTTTATCGCGATTTTAATATACCTTTAATGACGCACGATTAACACTTAATTGTTTTTTTATGGAATTTATAATCAAATTTTATTCATCGTTCTACAGTTCTAGTGCAGGATTTTACTTCGATAAAGTTATTTAAACCCTTCTCCTCCTGAGACGTCTGAGAATGTCCCGGGAAATCCAGCACCAGCTGTTCTCAAGGTCATCCAGCTGTAAACACAATAACTCATCGGTGTCAAAGCAGAAAGGCGAGACAATGGAAAATAAAGTTTGAAGCTTTTTTTTCAAAATTAACGCATTTCTTTCGTTTTTTTCAGTTTTAAGTATTTTTTATGTTTAATTAAAAATTCCTAAACGAAAATTAGGGAACAAGTGGTTAAAAATAAATTGCATTACAAATGCGAGAGTTAATTTAATTTCTTTTCAAAGCATAAATAAGATAATTTTTAATGAACTATGTCTTTCTATTTTGAATTTTTATAGAAAACTTTTCATGGTTTTATTCTGTTTAAGTGGTGGTGATCTTACACAAGATCGAACTTGTACGATTTGGTTGAAATTTAATAAATTGAAGACAATTGAGCAATTTATCTTTATCTTCCTTAACTATCTGATAAACTTTAAATATAATTCATTATGCAAATTTTAAGATTATCATAATTTACAATAAAATTTTGGGAAATATAAGATTATATAGTCTTGCCATTTCTTAAATTTCATCTTAAATATTCAAAAACAAAAATTTTTTAAATTGAAAAATACAGTTTGTTTTCTGTTTATATATGATATTCAATCTTATATAGTTAATTACGTTGATTTAGATATATAAAATCTTATTTTTATATTGAGTTATATTATTATACTGCTGACTCGTGTTATCAAATATATTTCATCATTTAGAATTTTTCTAAATAAAATACTTATCCAATATTATCCTCCAATTCTTTGGTCCCACAGTGAACAAGAATCTGTTATTTTTAGTTATCTGATTCAACGATGGTCTAAATTCAGGCTGTGTGTTTCAATATTAAATAATTCTTTGTTAAATAGCAGTGTTTTTGTTTATTTAAGAATTTTTTTCTCATTATAGAACTACTTATATCATAAATAATAATAATAATTGATCAGTTACGTTTCAGCAATTATAATTTATATTAAAATTAACAAATAAGTTTATAGCTATAGCTCGATATAATCCGGCAATCGTTTGGTATCGGTTTATTTTGCCATTTTAAAACTATTAATTAAACATCAGCTTCATAACCTCAAACTGATTTTTATAACCAAGATCAGTGACAAAATATTGAAATCATTTATATTTAAGTATAGATTGCAATTTTTAAAATTTATAAATGTAGTCTAGTTAAATTAAAAATTATTATTAATGGAAATACAGACTTATACATAACTTATTAATCCCATTAAAAACATCACGAAAATCATCGTTTCATAATAATATATGGGTCATTAATGTTTAATACATATTTAACAGAACATAAACTTTACTACAGAATTTGATTTCACAACATTTAAATTTTAAAATGTCGCCTTGGGAGGGTTCCGAAATTTATCATTTTACATAATTAAATAAAAAAAATGAATTTTTTAAATATAAAAGCAAAAAGACAGAAGCACGAACAAATAAGAAAGAACAATAGCAAAATAACGTGTAGAAGAAAATTGATGAAAAATGAAATATTGTCAAAGTTGTCAAGAATGATAACGTAGCAGGCGCAATATTTTTGCAGCCAAAGCGTCGACTAAATGTTGTTTCACATTACATTAACTAGCGTTGAAGCTACCATAAAATATGATACTTTCAGCACCAGTTAATACACCAACACCAGCCGGTAGGGTCGACTCGTTGGCACCTTCCACCCTCTTATAATCACGCTTCAATACGTAGGCTATATACGATCGAATCACTCCACATGAAATTGCCAGAGATGATTAAAATGTAAAACCTTTAAATTAGCGTTAAAACTTTTAGTACTTTCAATATTTATATCCCGAGAGCTATGTGATATTAAAATACATTTAAGAGAAGTTTATTAATAATACGTTTGACTGATTGTTGTACTGTATTTTGCAGAATATAGTCGATCGGCTATGCACAGTTTGCTCGACGAATTCTATAATAATTTACGTCTAATTTTACGAATTAATTATTGCAGTTTACCGCATTTTGACGCATAGGCTATAACACGCACTCTCTCAAAATCGCCCACATTCTAGATTATGACGAAGGTAGGGCTTATGTTCTCGCGTTTAACAATTTAAACAACTTCTGACTATCCCGTAGTGTTTTTAAAGGAAAATGGCCAGACCTGGCAAAACAGGCACGGCCCGAAATTCTTAGTGTATTGTCTGTACGGAAACCCGTGCTTCGGTCCGTTCCGTACGTTGCAAAATACGGGCGTAAGTGTTGTTTACGAAAGAATACAACATATAAAGGCCTGCATAAAAATCTATATACTTCTATTAGTAGTCGTCCAAACATTTATTAAATTCTAAGAATCCGGGGAAGTCGGAAACGGAAATCCCATATCCGTTTCTGTTTGTCTAATTATCTAATAATTCGACAGATAACAAAGAAAATGCTTACTAAGCGACGGAGTTTTAATTTGTGATTAGCGTAAATCCAAATTTATAAAAGGACGGAGCGAAGAATATTCATACTACTGTAGGAAGTCTTTTCGTCCGATAATTGTTACGCGACGTAAAACGATACCGTCTGTCATTTCCCGTTAGAAAACAGTCGAAAATATTTTTCTTTCTGTTTCCCGTTTCCACCTAACCGATATAAACACAGTAGTCACATTTAATACGACGTCAGAAATCACACCTGAATTACGTGTAACGATTTCGAAAGACGTTACGGGTTCTGAATATTCATAAGCAGTCAAAAATTGAAGTCTTGGATTAGTAATTCCACTCTTTTTTCCAATTTTAAGTAAATAGCTATTCTGGGGAGGGGAAACCTGAAATTTTGTTTATCTAAAAGTCAAACTATTTTAATACAGTATACTTCTTTTCATGTGGGTGCAAATATATATGAATACTTGATTGAAAATAGAGTTGTTTCTGTACTTTAGTACCAAGATGACATTGTTGTTCGATGATGATAACGTTTATAAATATTAAGATATATATTATATTATACGTAAGAAATATTAAATATTTCTTTCTTTTCTGCCGTTACGATTCACCAAAATGACTTCGTTTTATTAATACTTTCTGCTATCGTATCGGACTTTATTTTTATCAACGTAGAATAGAATTGTTGTATTTTTTTTTTTACTTCCAACTATTTGAGTCTCTTGCTACTAATCATTTATTATTCTAGTACAAATCCGAAAAGTTTAGATTTTTACTTTCCAGTCAAAAATAACCCCCCAAAAAATTTTTATATTTTTGGACTCGGGACACCTTGAAATGTCGAGAAATGCAAAAAGATTCAGGGTTTTTTCTGTATGTATGGATGTTAGTGTGTGTTCTGCAACTTGTTTGAAGCTTAATAATTTCCGTGCTTTTTGTCGAAAATTTCTGAAATTTTGCAGGGAGTTTTTGCGTATTAGAGGAATCGATACTATTAAATTTTGGTGGTTAAAGGTCGAGAGGATGAAGATAAAGGGGGTCGTGTGTCGCGTCTCGATTAGAGTCGGACTTAATGACGATTTTACTCCTTATTACAATTTACAATTTTTATAAAACCCATTCGTAACCTAAAAATTAAGCTTTTTTCTATTCTATTTTATTACTATTAAAAAATAAAATATCATAACAGATGGCGCCATACGCAGTTTTAAATGTTGCCAGGAAAATTAAGCAAGTTGTTGCTGGATTTTTAAAATATACTTTGGTCCGCATATAACAAAAATTTCATAGAATCTTAATCTGATAATCTATTAAATAATGGATTTTCTGAATGTAGCTTAACTGCTCGCTGCTTCGTCGCAACAAGTTAATGCAACCATCCATTATGATTGTAGAAATAAAGAATCGGCACTTATCACTTTGCCACGAATTTCGGAGGACATTTCATCAGATAATTTTACGAAGTGACGTTTTCCCTTCTTTCTACGCGAACGTCGTTAGTCACNCTTTCAAACAGCCGTAGTCCGTAAACTATGATTCCTACAAAATTGATTCATAAAGAACGGAACGTATCTACCATCTTATAGGGGGATCTACTGTAATATATATATGTAATGCTTAATTTTACTGTAAGTAAAATTAATGCATAAAAATTAATTTATAAAAGCATAAAATTAGTAGCTCTATTAATTAGATGTACAAAAGTTAAAAGATTCACCATTACTCTTATAAAACAATTATCTGTAATGTCAGAATTGTCTAATGCATGTTTAGATATAAGGCATTTAAAAAGAGGTTACTTTTATGTAATTCATTGGCATGGTACATTTCAAAAACTATATTATATCAAAAATAAACAATCTCATACCATACAGTATATATCGTCCAAGAGGTTTCAATAAACTGTAACCTTTATTAACATCTTCTCCACATAAGCAATCTAAAACTAAGTCAACACCTTCTGGAGATAATCTGAAAACATTTTTATGGGCTTGTAAATTAATATAGTGACTTGAACAATTAACAGAAATTTGAAATAACTACTTTTTCACTTCTTGTACATAATCTACTCCATGATCAATGAGATGCGTAACTGAACTTTTTATATCTTCATGTTTATGTTTAGAAGCAGTTCCAATCAAAGTAATATTTGGAATCATTTTAGCCATTTGAGCAACAGCTTGACCCTAAATTTAAAGTTTTGCAATATGAAACCTAAAAGTTTTTAAAAAATTAATTTATTAAAAAATAATTTCTTACCACACCACCACCTGCAGAATGCATTAAAATGGTATTTCCTTCACGTAGATTACCCACTTCAAATAGTAGGATGTAAGCTACTACATTATTCAATAACAGAGCTGATGCATCCTGAAAACTCATTCCTGGTGGAAGTTTGTAGACAAATTTTGCTGGAACAGCCGTTAATTCTGCCCAGGCTTTATATTCACTGAGAGCTGCTACTTCGTCTCCTACCTAAAATTAAATATCCATTTTGTTTTTTAAATACAAAGATTTAAAGTATTTTAAAATTTTAAAACAATTCTTACCTGAAAGTCTGTAACATTCTCTCCTAAGCTTTCAATGACACCAGCACATTCAAATCCCATGATAAAAGGTGTTTTTACAGGATTGTCCAATACACCCTGTCGTACCATCACATCCAAGAAGTTAAGACCACTAGAAGTTAAATATGACAATAAAATTATCTATATAGAATTTATAATTATTTTTCTTTTTTTGTAACTTCACAAATCAATTCTATATTAGTTTGCTTGCCATTTACAACTGTAGTTCATAACTTATTAATTTTTGAAAGTACAGTATTAATAATGTAAGAAGACATAAGAAGTTCTTACATTTAAATTTTATTTCAAAAAGTAACAGCCAACAAATTGTAGTCCAATATATTCAAATAAAGATCTAAACTACTGGATTATTAAAAAGACTAATAGCACTTCTATGTAATTTTGTATAAAGGTAGCTAGGTAAGCAGAAACTGGATTTGTCTCACTCCAGGTTTATCTTTTCTTCCAAAATGTCCTAAATTATATTAATTTTAGCATTAAACATAATAATAGTACAAGACAGCAAAGTAACTGCTTATCTTCAGACCAAACTATGTAACTTAATTATCTAACTAATAGCACTATTATAGTCCATTTAATAATCCAGTAGTCTAGATCTTTGGTAACAAATAAATGTATGTACTATGCTAGCTTCCATGCTTCTGATATATAAATACATTTAATATACAAAACAAACTGTATAGTATTAATATATTTACCACCAATAATTACATAAGATATAAATATAATAAACTGATAAATTTCATTGCAAGATATGCAGAAATTAAATCATGTAGTATTTATTTGTATGTGGAATTTAAGTTTCTACTGTTTTAAAAAATATTTTCAGACTTTCTTCCATGAAAGTATACCTCCAACAATGATCTGAAAAGCTTGAAAGTATAGAGATTTTATATATACTCTTTTATTGAAGAGTCAGTTAAAAATTCAATTTATTATTTCAAAAACAAAATTTACTTTTAATGCAATAATTCATTTGTTGATTTTAAGATAGAAAATTCCCAGAAAAATTGCTATAAAATTAAACAACTTAAAATAAAAAACTTTTTAACAGTAATTTAAAACCTTTTTCAACAAGTTTAGAAACTATCTTGCAGGCTACCACGAAGCATGACAGAAAAACCATATTACTAAAAATTTATATAGTATAAAAATATTCATGTGGTAAGTTTGGCAATGTTGAAATTCATAATGTCAAAAAACTTTCCATGATAGTTTTTAATGTACCTTTTGAGTTTGAACAGTTTACCACAGGAACAATTTCCCTTTTTTTTTTAGTAACATTCAGTGTAGCTGAACCTTATTGAAGGGGAAATCTTTCTTTCTCAAATAACTTTGATTAAAAAATCTTATTAGCATCATAACTTGAACAACTTAAAATAAATTTATAAACTTTCTTTGGTCAAGACATTCTCCAAATTTTGTTAATCTATTTATTTATCACAGAATACATCTATTAGTGGTATTTGTAATGTACAGAGTCTGAATATCTAGTTATGTTGTTACTAACCTTGCAATTTATTGCCTAACTGAGTGTAGAAGAAAAAATGTCAAAGTTCATTTATTCCATTTGTCAAATTCTTTCATTATTCAAAAGCTAAAAACAAGAACTAGCTAGTTTTTTTTTTAGTTCATTTACTTATTATTTTGATGATTATTAATGTATGAATTATATTACTTACATAAACTTATTACTTGTATTAGTAACGTGGTAATTTTCCAATTTAAATACTATTAATTCATATCAAAGGTTGTGGCGTCAATTTGAAAATCTTATTAAAGCAATGTTGGATTTAAAAGTTGTATTTGACATATGTGACAACCAAGTGCGATAATGAAAAAATTTACAATTTTCCTTTATTATAATTATCTTTTATTTTCTGATTTACTTGTTAGACATACAGTTTTTGTAGTTTCAAACTATGCCAGGAAGAAACAAATATGAAGAATTTTTATTTCTTTGATATTTTCAAAACCTCATCAGAAGTTTATAGTTTAATAGCAAAATTAAATGAAGATTAAAGGTATCAAAAATTACTTTCTTCCTAAATACCAAATTTCTGTTTTAATATTTTGTTCTTTCAAAGTTAAATCAATTAGGAGTTTATAATTTCCACTAATTTACCGTCTGGACCCGAGATAACTCGGGCAGGTTGCATAACGTTACAAAACAAACAGTCGTTTGGACGCCCATTTTTTTTATTTTTGGATGTTTTTTGTCTCCAAATTTTTTCAAAAATTTTTACCCGCGCGAAAAAATTTTATCGCGATTTTAATATACCTTTAATGACGCACGATTAACACTTAATTGTTTTTTTATGGAATTTATAATCAAATTTTATTCATCGTTCTACAGTTCTAGTGCAGGATTTTACTTCGATAAAGTTATTTAAACCCTTCTCCTCCTGAGACGTCTGAGAATGTCCCGGGAAATCCAGCACCAGCTGTTCTCAAGGTCATCCAGCTGTAAACACAATAACTCATCGGTGTCAAAGCAGAAAGGCGAGACAATGGAAAATAAAGTTTGAAGCTTTTTTTTCAAAATTAACGCATTTCTTTCGTTTTTTTCAGTTTTAAGTATTTTTTATGTTTAATTAAAAATTCCTAAACGAAAATTAGGGAACAAGTGGTTAAAAATAAATTGCATTACAAATGCGAGAGTTAATTTAATTTCTTTTCAAAGCATAAATAAGATAATTTTTAATGAACTATGTCTTTCTATTTTGAATTTTTATAGAAAACTTTTCATGGTTTTATTCTGTTTAAGTGGTGGTGATCTTACACAAGATCGAACTTGTACGATTTGGTTGAAATTTAATAAATTGAAGACAATTGAGCAATTTATCTTTATCTTCCTTAACTATCTGATAAACTTTAAATATAATTCATTATGCAAATTTTAAGATTATCATAATTTACAATAAAATTTTGGGAAATATAAGATTATATAGTCTTGCCATTTCTTAAATTTCATCTTAAATATTCAAAAACAAAAATTTTTTAAATTGAAAAATACAGTTTGTTTTCTGTTTATATATGATATTCAATCTTATATAGTTAATTACGTTGATTTAGATATATAAAATCTTATTTTTATATTGAGTTATATTATTATACTGCTGACTCGTGTTATCAAATATATTTCATCATTTAGAATTTTTCTAAATAAAATACTTATCCAATATTATCCTCCAATTCTTTGGTCCCACAGTGAACAAGAATCTGTTATTTTTAGTTATCTGATTCAACGATGGTCTAAATTCAGGCTGTGTGTTTCAATATTAAATAATTCTTTGTTAAATAGCAGTGTTTTTGTTTATTTAAGAATTTTTTTCTCATTATAGAACTACTTATATCATAAATAATAATAATAATTGATCAGTTACGTTTCAGCAATTATAATTTATATTAAAATTAACAAATAAGTTTATAGCTATAGCTCGATATAATCCGGCAATCGTTTGGGATCGGTTTATTTTGCCATTTTAAAACTATTAATTAAACATCAGCTTCATAACCTCAAACTGATTTTTATAACCAAGGTCAGTGACAAAATATTGAAATCATTTATATTTAAGTATAGATTGCAATTTTTAAAATTTATAAATGTAGTCTAGTTAAATTAAAAATTATTATTAATGGAAATACAGACTTATACATAACTTATTAATCCCATTAAAAACATCACGAAAATCATCGTTTCATAATAATATATGGGTCATTAATGTTTAATACATATTTAACAGAACATAAACTTTACTACAGAATTTGATTTCACAACATTTAAATTTTAAAATGTCGCCTTGGGAGGGTTCCGAAATTTATCATTTTACATAATTAAATAAAAAAAAATGAATTTTTTAAATATAAAAGCAAAAAGACAGAAGCACGAACAAATAAGAAAGAACAATAGCAAAATAACGTGTAGAAGAAAATTGATGAAAAATGAAATATTGTCAAAGTTGTCAAGAATGATAACGTAGCAGGCGCAATATTTTTGCAGCCAAAGCGTCGACTAAATGTTGTTTCACATTACATTAACTAGCGTTGAAGCTACCATAAAATATGATACTTTCAGCGCCAGTTAATACACCAACACCAGCCGGTAGGGTCGACTCGTTGGCACCTTCCACCCTCTTATAATCACGCTTCAATACGTAGGCTATATACGATCGAATCACTCCACATGAAATTGCCAGAGATGATTAAAATGTAAAACCTTTAAATTAGCGTTAAAACTTTTAGTACTTTCAATATTTATATCCCGAGAGCTATGTGATATTAAAATACATTTAAGAGAAGTTTATTAATAATACGTTTGACTGATTGTTGTACTGTATTTTGCAGAATATAGTCGATCGGCTATGCACAGTTTGCTCGACGAATTCTATAATAATTTACGTCTAATTTTACGAATTAATTATTGCAGTTTACCGCATTTTGACGCATAGGCTATAACACGCACTCTCTCAAAATCGCCCACATTCTAGATTATGACGAAGGTAGGGCTTATGTTCTCGGTTTAACAATTTAAACAACTTCTGACTATCCCGTAGTGTTTTTAAAGGAAAATGGCCAGACCTGGCAAAACAGGCACGGCCCGAAATTCTTAGTGTATTGTCTGTACGGAAACCCGTGCTTCGGTCCGTTCCGTACGTTGCAAAATACGGGCGTAAGTGTTGTTTACGAAAGAATACAACATATAAAGGCCTGCATAAAAATCTATATACTTCTATTAGTAGTCGTCCAAACATTTATTAAATTCTAAGAATCCGGGGAAGTCGGAAACGGAAATCCCATATCCGTTTCTGTTTGTCTAATTATCTAATAATTCGACAGATAACAAAGAAAATGCTTACTAAGCGACGGAGTTTTAATTTGTGATTAGCGTAAATCCAAATTTATAAAAGGACGGAGCGAAGAATATTCATACTACTGTAGGAAGTCTTTTCGTCCGATAATTGTTACGCGACGTAAAACGATACCGTCTGTCATTTCCCGTTAGAAAACAGTCGAAAATATTTTTCTTTCTGTTTCCCGTTTCCACCTAACCGATATAAACACAGTAGTCACATTTAATACGACGTCAGA